TATGAATAATGAATGTGGAATAAATCCAAAATTCAAATGTCAATTTTGTCCAAAGACATCTAGCCGATATTCAAATTTAAAACGACATATGATATCTGTACACAAGTATATTGACAACCAGCCTAATATCATTGAAACTTTGGTGAATGAACAAAGTTAAAATTATAATGCTTAATTATTATAACAATGTATCCATATTGTTACCTATCTTTATTAAAATAATTGTAAATCAAATATATATGTAATTATAATCAATTTAAAATAGTAAAATATATGTGGAAAAGCATAATTTAATGATACATTTTTCATTGATGACCTTTTAACATTTTATTTAAGATTTTCATTAACTCTATAAAGTAATTGTAAAATCATTTTAATTAATAATCATTTTGAGTTTAAAAATACTGTTTAGTGGCCAAGACTTAATCAGTTTAATTAATAATAAACAATAAAATATTTACATCATGGCAGCAATGCTTAATAATTTAATTTGTTTATTTTTTCTAATAAAATAAAATTTACTATTTTAAATTTTTTAAAAACACATTAGCTCAATTCCGTAGACTCAAACATTCAAAATTTTAAAGTATTGCAGTTAAAGTGATTAAAAGCAATGTGCTTAATATATTTTAAGCTAATTTTTTCATTCTGTAATTATTTATTCAAAAATCATAGACGCTGCTTAAAATATAAGTACCTATTGAATTATCCATAATAAAGTTCCTAAATAAATGTATTTATATTATGTATTTGATTTTGATTAACAAAATATTAAAATGTAAAATATTTATAACTAAATTATATAATTAATAATTTATTATTAACTCAATAAAATTGTAAATATTTTTTATTTTTTGTTGTTGTATAAATTAGTAATTACTAATATGTTTTTATTATTTTGTTAATTATTTTTTAAGATCATTTTTTTTTCATGTGAATTTTTCAAACAGTCTATTACTACCTTTAAAATGTTATCTATTAACAATATTTATAGTTTGGGTTTATACACACACATTTACACTGTTTTAGTATATTACATATTATATTTGGTGTATTATTTTTTTGATATTTTATAATGTTAAATTTTAATACTAGAGCTGAAGTGTGATGCATGCAACTATAAAATACTACACATTTTGATATTACAATAATATATTTCATTTCGTGGATAAAAATATGTTATACAAACTAAGGATATTTGACTAACCTTAATTTGATAAAAGCATATTTGAAATAGCACATAACTAATTCTGAGCAAACAAGCTATTTTTATCATATTTTTTTTTTCAAAAAAATTTTATTCAAACATTTAAAATCATGTATTTATTTATAAAAGTCTTGAATAGTTTTGACTAAGTTGAAATTACGCTCAGAATTTTTTTTATCATAGTGATATATCATAGATTTCAATATATATATATTTTTTGCTTTATGTTTGTGCACTTGAATACAATTTTCAATTTTGTTGTATTTAAATTCAGTCCTTGTTTTTTTCGTTTGTTTTTTGTTTTTTAGGTTTTTATTATTGTGATGGGTGTCGGCGTAAATATCGTAATATGGGAAGCTTAATTAGACACAAACGATATGAATGCGGTCTTGAACCTCAATTTCGTTGTGATATATGTATGAAATCATTTACTCGTAATACAACACTTAGAGATCATCGGTTTAATATGCATAACAATTTACCTAGTCATTTATAAAAAGTTTTTATTTAAAAAATATATGAATAATTGATGGTTTCTTATATACACCAATTTTAATATGAATTTAAGTACATTTTATTAATATATATATTTATTACTTTATTTTTATTGTAATAACTAATATACTATGAATAAAATTGGTTAACCTTGTTGAATAATGTATGTAATGTGATGTGAGTATATGATTATTTAATACTATTAATTGAGATTAAAATTTATTTTTCATTTTTATGTTGTTCAATTAAATTTTTAATGATAAAAACTTATTTTTTAATATTGCTAATGATTATTTGCATGGTATTTTATCATAAAAATTGTATAATTTATTCATTGTTATATAATATAATATGTTTATGATAAGTTTAACAATTCTGAAATACATTTCTATGTATTACATACAAAATGTTTTTACAATTATTCATGAAATAACTTAAATATTTTAGAAAATCAAGAAAACAAAAACATTTAACTACAAAACCTGTAAAAATATATTTTTTTACCAAAAATCTAAAAAAATATATTAGCTGGTTATTTGCAATTAATAATTACATTTTGATTAAATAATTGAATATTTTATTAAAAGGTACTGTAATTTTATAAATATTTTAATATACGTCATAAACTGTTGCTTATATATGTTTATATAAAAACTTGTTTTTTATTTTCTTAAGAAATCTGTTAATTTTGGTCAAGCTAATCAAAATATCAATATTTATCATTGATTATATTATTTTACTGGTTGTATCAAAGCTTTATTTTATATATTAGAAGTATTTTTACCTTCTTTAAATATATATATACTAACATAAACATTTTACCAAAGGTAATCAAACTATGTATCGCAACTTTGTGAGGCAACAGTGTTGGTCATTAATATGGAAGAAGATAAATTAATAAATGGTAATGATGATGAATATTAATAATAATATAAATATCTTATTCATAAAATGAGATATTTATTTTTGGTTTTCTGTGCATCATTTTTACATTTGTTGTTTAATAATTTATTGTTATATTTATAATATAAATTCATTAAAATAACTATTTTTATATTTAAGTGAGTAATTATAACTAACTATCTATTTAAATTTTTCAGGTATGATATTTTCATTTGAAGGACTTAAGAATCAAATTTATTTAAATTAAATAAACTGTAATTAATGCTAATTTTCTATACTATGTATAATATCAACAGTCGACAGATGATAAATGATCAGTGGCAGACTGAACTTAAATTTTAAATAACATAATTTCATGTTTAAGTATTTACCACCACCACTCCCTAATATCAAACCTCACAAATCCGTGGGGCTGTCCTCCACCGCTCCACCACTACAGTTTCCAAATTTACTCATTTTATAATAAAAATGATATTATACTTTCTGCGTATATTAGATAGGTAGTAAGTATCTATTTAAGGTATTTATTTGGAATTATTTTAAGTAATCAATAAGCATCTGAATTTGAATCTAAAATTATTATACACATACAATATATTTAAATATATAATACTATTCTTAATAAAGGTATCAAAAAAAAGTTTACATAGTTATGTCAAAATTGAGCTTTTTGGTCTACCACTGTAAATGATTATATGGGTGTTTTGTTGGTCATATATTATACCGAGTGTCTGAAGAGATGCATATATTTATTTTCTAAGCTTGGCACTCTCTCATTATTGTAAAGACTAGAAACTTATCTCTATTTTAAAAGTTTAAAACATTTTGGGAATGGTAACTGTGAGTAATTATATATATTTTTTATAAGCATAATATAAATATTTTTTTTTAACTGTTATCTTATTTCTTTAGAACTTAAGATAATTAAGTTCCTACTATGAATGAGAATATTTTTAGCTTTTTCATTGATAAGTTAACTTTCTTGGTTAAAATTTATAACTTGTAATACTATTTTGTACTGTTCTTTGAGGTAAATATTATATCATAAGTGTGTGTCGATAAAATGCAACATTTCCTGAATATTTCTTTGAAGAGTTGTTTTTATAATTATCTGATAAAAAATTTAACATTTATAAATTTGAACAAAACTTGTCTGTGAAAAGTACTTACTATGACACCATGTTGTTTATAGTATTATAATAGTTGATAAATTTATATAAATTTATAAATAATATTTTTGTATTTTATTGTTTATTGTTTACTATAATTTTGTGTCTACCAATGAAACAATATAATTTACTTTTAGTTAAATTTAATCAACTTAAACTTGAACTAATTAATTTTTTTAAATTATTCCTACCTCCAAATTAGAGTTAAAATAAATTAACTTTCTAGTTTCGAGTATAAGTCCATAATAGTGTAGAATAAAAAATGTATTATTGTATTATTGTTTATTAACAGTTTCAACGTAAAATATACTTTTTTTTTATTTCTAGCTCAAATTATTAAATCCCATTTTTGTCCAAACTGTGGTTGGTCTTATCAAAGAAAAGACTGTGTATGAATTGAACATAGAATCTCAATTCCAATAATTTTATTTTCTTTAAAAATGTTCTCAAAAATACAATCTCAACTACCATATGTCAGTTATTCATTAACCTAAGTTTTATTTCGGTTAAAAATATTACTTTTATCTATTAAAAAATATTAATATTTATTTGTATTATTCCTATATTTTAAGTTTCAATTTTTTTTTTTTTTAAATTATAAACATTTTATATGTTTTACCAAATTTTTTATGTAGTAATAATATCTTTGTCATACTTATAAAATCATTTTTAAATTCAAGAAATTTATTTACGTATTTTTACTCATTCAAAAAGTGTGAATAAAAAATAAATTAAGAAATATTTGAATAATTATTAAATTATACAATTGTTTATTATGATATTTGAATATTTGTTTTGTATAATATATATTATATATTTTATTATGCTTGCAGTATTAAATAATATCAAAAACAAATGTTATAGTGTCCAAATAAATGTGAAAAAAGTTACAAACATAAAAATAATGTTGCATAAATCTGAAATTCCTCCTCAGTTTACTTGTATCTTTTACACTAAAAACTTCAGAAGAAATGAACATCTCAAAAAACATTTAATGTTCATTTATAAATTTATTACATAAAATAAATTCTATGAATTTAATTATTTGTGTTTTAGATTCTGAAGAGAGTGAAGAAACCTGTATTTTTCTGTTTATCTATATTTATAAATATTAAAATTTTCCATATTCTATTTTAAAATATTGAATTTTTGCCAATTTCTTATTAATGATTTCATGTATGTACATATTTACATTCTCTACACACTTTTAGACTCCAGTAGTTCTTATATACGAGTTCTAATAGGTCTTATATCCTTAATCCTGCTTAGAAAGATGATAAACACTTCTAAAAAAGAAAATTAAAGTGCATTTATGTATTGTATACATGAGAAAAAACTTCAGTTATAAAAATATACACTTTATGGTGATTATACTTGGATTAATGAAACATAAAAATCATTATTTAGCTGTCTTCCAGTATGCACTGTACAAAAAAATACAGGGTCTATCAATAAACTATGATGTACCATAATAATAAAGGTATAGTATGCAATATATGATACAAATAGCATTAAATAAAGTAATTGTGAAAAAAACAAAATATTTTGATTTGATTTATTTTAAATTTAAAAACAATTATTTAATTATTATTTATAATAGTGTAATTTGACTGAATTCCTCAATTGAAAATAAACTATACAAGTGTTTTAAATAGTTTATTATGATTTATAAATATAATATACTAGTCAGAGTAACTAATATATTGCATGCAACACATAAATCAACTTAACTGTTCTTACCAATAATAGTATTGGTTTTAAAATATTAACTCTGAGAAATATATAGATACATTTTATAAAATTTATATTTATTATAAATGTTATAATAAATAAAACAATAACCACAATGGTAAAAATCTCCTAGTTATTATAGAATAAAAAGCATTGGTAGATAATGTACTACACTCATAATTATAGATAGGTAGTACACAAAATAGCAATTGACTGCATATTGGAAGATGGCCAACTATATTTTATATATGTTTGAAACATTTTGATGAAAGAAAACAAATTTTAGAGGGTTATATTTGTACAAAATATTTAAGAAATACTTGTCTAAGACAATTTTCTTACATTTTAATTAAAATGCATATTTTGAAATTTGATTTATATATAAATATAGGTTATATTGCACTTTAATTTTTATTTTTTTTTTGAAAGTTTAATACTACTTATTTCTATATCCAAAACCCAATTATTTTGATTATTGTTGTTGTTGTTGTTGTTTTTTTTTTTTTTTTAATTAGGTTTATTTATTAATTATTATACAATGTTTGTTTTTATTGATCAAAAATGTGCTTATATCCTGTGCTTTAACTTTATTTTGTAGTAATACCTAGTTGATGTGTAAAAAAATATTTTGATATCAGGCATGACACACCTATATTTTTTACTTTTTATTTTTATTTGTTTTGTTTTGTTAATAGATGAAAGATGGTTGTGTCCGAAATGTGGCCGAAATTACAAACGAAAAGCCCATTTAAGTTTTCATTTGGCCAAAGAATGTGGTGTTGGTCCTCAATATAATTGTTCGAAATGTTTTAAATTTTTTAAGCGTAGTAGTCATTTGAAAAGTCACCAGTTATCATGTGGTGATGTCTCACCAAAATTTCAATGTGATATTTGTAAAAAAAAATTCACACGCAAGGACAACATGAAAACTCATAAAAACACTATACATAGACTTTCTGATCCTAGCATACCAAGTGAAGTTTATGCATTTTATAGTGAATGGCAAATTGGAGATTCAGATTAACATCTAATTATATTTATAAAATGTTAACTAAAAGATAAATAGTTTTTTTATTTACCTAATTATGTATGTTTAAATATTAATAATATGTTTTTTTATATTAATATTCAGGTATACTTATAGAATGTGATTCAAAATTGTAGATAGTACAATCAATTAAAATGTGATAACCTGCAAATTGAAATGTTTGAAAATTCTTTTTTATTTGAATATATTTATAAATGTATGCAGGAATTCATATTTACAAACAACCACAAGGTCTACAAATCTGTTAATAATTAAATGGTTCATAATTGTCAATAATAATGTTTAATAAAGAAATAGAATCTAATTGTGTTTTCAACATTGATTTTTTATTATTGAATTTTATCAAGTAACCAAACTCTATATATTCTTCGCCAAGTAATTTTAATTGATTTTATTCTTATTTAGATGTATAATTTATTTGTTGATTGATAAACTGAATAAGTTTATATTCGGCTTCCAAATTTTAAAAATATACTTCTTGTATATTTGTGATATATTTATAAGGTGACAAATTAAGTACCTTATGAAATATTATACTTTTAAAACTTGAGTTGATAATAATTTATTACATTTTATATGTGTCTAACTGAATATCTTTAATGGTTTGTTTATATTTATGTATATAATTTATTTACATATTTAAAAACCGCGAATGTGTAAATAATAAATATAAATTTTAAAATATATAAAGTATAATTATTAATATATAATACTTTAAATCATTATTGATTTTCATAAACCAAATTAATATTTCTAGTTTATTAATTTTGTAATATTTTTTGTCCATTCAAAAAAAATATTTATACTATGATGCTTGGATGTATAAAAGGTCTCAAATTGAATGTGAAACAATTTGTTCAAAATATTGAGTAATATTCTACATGGCTATATTTAAAAACTATAATAAATGCTTATTTATGCTTATTAACATCAAGTTAAATCATTGTGTAATTTTTATTACATGAAATATTATTATGATTTTATACATTACTAAAATATTAATATTTATAATTGTTTTCATGAGTATTTTTATTTAATTATTATGGTGTTTATTATTTTTTAGAAAAACCAACTAGAAAAAAAGCAGAAAACATAACTGAAAAAATAAAAACATCAATAAGAACAATAAAAAAGGAGATTTTATTAAAAATATTTGTGCTGTATCAACATCTTTTAAACACTTCAATACTTTGAACAAACATCAACGTAGCCATTTATTTCTAGAAAATTAAGTTATTCTTCCATTTCAATGTGATGAATGCAATAAAAAATTTCAAAAATTATAAAACATGAATACACATAGAGCACTAATTCATGGTGTGTTATGGATTTATTACTGTAATAACTGAAAAATGACAAGTATAACTATACAATTATATTATTATGTATAATGTATATCATATTATTATAAATGGTTATATAAGTATTTATTATATTTAGTTTTTTTTTATATTTGATCTTAAAATAATAATAATTTGATTAATTTGAATTTTTTAGTTATGATTTACTATTGTAGTATAATGTTATCAATAGAGATTTGTTTAGTTTATAGAGATAAAAACCTTACAATGAAAATATCTTAATTTTTAATGTAGTATGCCTAAGTTATAATTGAATAATCTGATCCTATACTTGATGGTATTTAAATTACATTTTGGTTTAGAGAAATTTTGAGAAATGTACTTGATGTGAGAAGATATTTTTTACCTTCTAGTTTGGCATTGTGGTATAAATTTGTCTATGGTAGACGGCACATATAGATCTGATCCTACGTGGTTTTTTTTTAATTTATATCCTACTCGTAGAATCATATTTAGTCATTTTATTTTATTGTTGTATTTGCTTTCAATTAAAATACTATTTCATTTTATTTATGTATATTTAATATATAATCCATGTAAGATTATTATTAATATGCCATTGAGCTGTTGTATCATGAAATGAAGAAGATAAGAACCAAACAATTTTGAAATCAGTTAAGAAACATCCATATAGATTAAAATATAATCAGATTTTAATATCATCTATTTATTATTTATATAGAATTCAATTTTATGTTGTTATCTTCAGAATTAATATTAGAAGAGAAAATTAAAAATAGTTAGCCACACTTTTTCTAGAGATCTAATTCGCTTACAACTATTTTTAAAACTATATATTTTAATATTTTCCTGTTACATTATTATTAATTTATTATTTTTTAATGTTATTAAATATTCTTTTTATTAGTTTAGTCTTAATAAAATACAATATATGTGTATCTTACATTTTTATAATTATATACATAGACTATATTTCTTAACATTATTTTTTAAATACAATATTATTATATCACCAAAATTTTACCACAGTTTAAAATAAATAATTCTAACAACAAAAGGACTTCTACTACTTATTAGGTATATTTTTAATATATTTGTCACTATGTTGCCAACTAAATATTATGTTTAAAATTATTATTATTACTATTAGACTAGTAATAAAGTTTTTTTTAGTATTTTAACCTATAATACTAGATAAATTTTTAAAAAAAATTACTTCACATTGAATTAATTATTTACTTTTATGAATTTAGAATAATCTTTTATTAGCTTTTAAGTGCTTTTCATTAAATTAATAAATTCAAATATGTATGTATGAATTTTTAAATTTTATTTTATTATTAATTATAATCTATCTTTTATAGGGATAGCACAGCTACAAAATGGTCGATGGATATGTCCAAATAATTATTGCGGTAGAACATATAAAAAAAAGTTTTCATTGTATCGCCATTGTCGACAAGAGTGTGGTGTTGAACCTCAATATCGATGTTTGTATTGTATGAAAACGTTTAAACGCAAAGAATCACTCAAATCACACTCTATAATAGTTCATAACTCTTTTAACTTTGACAACTTACAATTAAAATAACCTAAAAATACAATTTAATATTTTAATTTTCAATGGTATACTTAGTAGCCTTGAAAGCATTCAAAAGATGATTTCTCCCATTATATAAAAACTTGTTCAAAAAAGTATACAAAGTTTGTAATAAATGGAAAAAATTTTTTTACAGGAATTGATACTTGGCCATAGTGTTATCAACAGAAAAAAAATAGGATCGTTAAACATCCAGTATGGTTTTTTCTACAGATATTATATCTTATATATAAACTCACATACTGAAACAAAAACATTAAAATAAATGTAATAAAAAGTAACTATAATGAACCATCTATGAATATTACTTACATTTCTAACCCATAACTACCCTTAGACTAAAAACGAATCACTTAATTCATCTGGAGGTTAATAATAAAATACATTGTTACCGAAAGCTGCTAACACAAAAATGCAAGAAATAAACATTTTGTAGATTAGATAAACTTGGAAAAAATCTACTTTCAAATATAAATATGATTAATTTTTTTTTAATGAAACTATTTAATTTTAATTTAATTTAGTTGCATCAACTTGAGAAAAAAATTGTAACATAATATGCATAAATTAATTTTTTAAATATAATATTTATAATATTCATATTTATATCATTGGACTTGGCTACTGTTTACTGATGTTTTCTATTTCAATGAAACTATAAACAATATACTTTTCAACAATTATTAAATATAAAGACTGAACTTCAATTAAATATTAAAATAATTTGTAATAAGTAACTTGTAACTTGTCAAACAGATGTTAGTTTGGCTTGACTTAAAAACATGTTGTGTTCTGTGAGTACCTATTAGTTACGATAGTCAATGAAACTATCCTTATTTTTCACATTTATAATATATAAATAATAAACAATACTTATGTATGATTTTCCAATTATGTATATAATAAAACATGCGTACTATCGATTGTAAATGTTTATTATGTTAGAAGAGGTATGTAATATGTGTGTGTATGTACAAGTGTATTGAGTTATATATACTATGAAATAAATGTAAATATAAACTATTTTCAAAATTGTTTAATTAATGATATTAAATTGTTATTAAGCCACATGCTATTGCACTGTAAGATATATGATTTTAAACAGTTTTATAATGTATAGACTTAGGCAGTGTTGATATCTTTTATTTAACTATTTTTATCTTATTTTTTTTTTCCATAGCATAACAATGCTTAGTATTTAGTAGGTATATACATATATATAGATATTAAATTATTAAATGAATAAGTATAAAGATTTTAAATTTAAATAACAATTGTATATTAAATAACTCTTATTCTTATGATGTTAAAAACTGCTTTTGCTTAATTTCTCTACAGTTTTAATTGTCTTACATATTTTTATTAAAAACATGTTTTATCATAACTCATTTTTATTGAATTTTACAGTTTGTTCAATCAGTGGAAGGTATATGTGTCCAAATACATGTGGTCGAAGTTACAAAGAAAGACACAATCTTATTAGACATTTAAGAAAAGAATGTGGTGTTGCTCCTCAACATAAATGCATCCAGTGCTCAAAAGCTTTTAAGCATAAAGCACATTTAACTAGACATTTATTATCCTGCTCTAATATTCCTCCAAGTTTTGAATGTATATTTTGTGGTAGGATGTTCAGATGTAAAGACACATTGAAAAAACATAATTTATTAGTTCATAATGTATTTGAATAATTTACTGAATAACTTGTATACTATTGTTAATGTTAAAAACAGTTAAATCACAAGATTTGTATCATGATTAAAATACATGTAATATACAGAATTTTCATTTAAAACTTTTAACATAATATTTATACTAAGTTATTTTTTAGTTTTAACAATATTTAACTTGAATTAGTTTAATTGTGTTAAATTACTTAGAATAAAATGAAAGGGTTGTTAATTATTTTATTAAATTTAATTATCAAAGGATTTTTCTTATTTATCCCAATTTTATTAGTATCAATTTTTTATTTTCAATAAATAGATTCAGACAACATATTATAGTGTTAATTTTTAATTATCTTACAGATTGTTGTTCTGAATTTTTCTAAATAAATATATAATGTTGTTAAATGTATACTATATCAAATGTGTTTATCTTAAACGGACATTACTTTAGTTTTCATCATAGTAGGTTTATATTCAAATTATTGTAGAGTTAATAAATTATCCAAATTAAAAAAGGTAATTGAAGTTTTTTGGAGGATCATATTAAAAAAGTAAAAATTTAAATGAAACAACAATTTAAAATAAATTTTAATAAAGTATGTAGTGCAATATAAAAGTATAATATAATTTTGCATGTAATATATAGTACTTTCATATATATGTTGTAGAAACTAATTAATATTTAAATAGTATTTAAACACAAAGTTTAATAATAATTAAAATAAAATGTGCTGATTACTGAATAATAATTCCTTTTTAATTAATAGCGAAATATTTAAACCTTGTTAAATTGTATAAATCAATAAAATGGTAAAGTGAATAAATATTTCTCTATTTTAATATTTTTGTAGCAATTACAAATGATATAAAATAAATGTATATTAAATTTAAATTCATGTAGTTAAACAAATTATTAAAATCCTTATAAAAAAAAAAAAAAAAAAAAAATAAAGTAATTATCATAAATACAAAACAGTTTTTTAATTTTTTAGAACTTTTACTAAATATAATATATTAGTAATGCATCAATATAGAAACAAAATTAAATTTTTTATACAATAAAACTAAATTATATAGTATGAGCTTTATTTATAATCAGGTATGATAATTATTGTAATTTATAATAAAAAATCACAGTTTTAATTATAAATTATTGAGTTTTATTAAGTCCATAGAATGATGTTGAGTGATGCTCAGCATATGTAAATGTTTAAAATTTTTTGATTGTGTTTGTTAAATTTCTACTGTAAATTATTATGCTGTATTAATTTTTCTAACAAAGATATTAAAATTAAAACAAAACAATATTTAGGCTTTTATAAATAATTTAGATTGTCTCATCTTTACTCAGAAAATTGAGTTTTTGTCTACTGTTTTGCTATTAGTGGACTTGATTTTATACGCATATAATGTTTTATTTAATGAAGACTAAGTTATTAAAACAGTTAAGTGTCCTCAAAATTAAAAATAATTTTCTCAGTTTTCAGCTATTTTTATTTGAAATGAATAGGAATTTACTTTATTATTCTTTTGAATAAATGCTGATTGCTTTTTATCAATATGATATTTTATCATGATTCCCTAACGTCTTTTATTTGTTTGCAGGTTTATTAAGCCGTTGGCCATGTATGAACAACTGTGGTAGAAGCTATAAGAACAAAGGCGACTTAATACGACATATTAGAAAAGAATGTGGTATTCCTCCTCAATACAGTTGTGATACTTGTCGTAAAATGTTTAAACATGTTCATCATTTAAAGTCACATATGATCGTAGTACATCAGAAACTATTTAAAAGCAATTAACAGCACTTAATTTATAATACCTACGTAATCTTGTAAAATATTATGCTTTAATATGTTTTCTTTGTATTAGTAAAAAATTATTTTTACGTTTTCAATTTACTGTGAATTATGCAACATGAAAATTACAAACGAAATTGCAAAGATATTATTCAAATATCCAAATCAATTTTTCAGCCAAGAAACTTGTGAAACAAAATTTGTTTAATGACACATAAATAATAAATGTTGTAGATTCACAAGATTCTTATCTAATATATAGTTTGTACATTATACAATAATTAGATTAGATGATAAATTATAAAATATTATACCTATTTTAAAAATTATTTTATTTCTATTAACTAAATTAAATTAAGTATATTTTGTAATAATTAACAATGTATCATCTACAATATAAAATTAAATAACTTAACACCATAGCTCTTAAGTTTAATATGTTTCTTTAAGTATGGTAATTGTTCCTTATTACAAACTTCTTTTTTACTTAAACTATTTTATTTTTGTTAATTACAGATTTATTTTTGTTGTTCATATAATATCAACTACAAACATTATTAAGCTTAGTTTAAAAAAAAAATCCAAAATTATATGATTATGTTACATGATTGAATAAACAAAGTAAATGGTTAAATTGAATTAAAAATTAAACAATATTTTAAAATTCATTGAGAAAAATATAAATAAGTATAAATAGATTGTCATGATTTTAGCGGTGAGCAATATAGTAATTTTTTATTCAGTTAGGATAAATATTGTTTTTATTAATGACAGAGTGTAGGTATTTAAAATTTAATTGAACAATAAATTTGTTTAAATAAATACATTAACAAATCAGTAAATTTTCAATAGAAAAATAATTTTGAATATATATATTTAAAAATTTAAAGATTTAATTTAATTTATAAAAATAACTATTTTAAACTTATTTATATTGTTTTAAAAATAAATAAAAAAAGTTTTAAATTATTTAATTTATAACACATAATATATATTGTATACATAATCATTTTTTTATTTATTAATAATTATATCTTCACATATTTAGGTAATTTTTCAAAGTAGCTGTGCTGAAATGAATATGGATGAAGTTATAAGTACTAATATAAGTAGATATAAGTAGACATATAAGAAATAATTTAAAGTTAAATTTCGATACAAGTGTGGAATTTGCTTAAAAACATTCAAACTAAGTAATAATGTAATAGTTTATATGACTAGGCATAAAACAATCACTACAAATATTTTTTTTTGATTTTAACTCAAAAAAAGTAAATACAAGAAAAAATAATATATATTGTGTCACATTTTTAAATTACATACAGATATATAGAGTAATGTTTTTTTTTAATAGTGTATATTCTATATTGAAAAAAAAAATACTTTTTTTATTTTTATTAAATTTAAAATATACTCGTGTGTTTCATACATTCAATGCTTCCCTTATGTTCAATGTTTAAAAAATTTCCCTATGTAAGATAAAAAAGATATCATAAAATAAATGTAGGTGCTATAAAATTTAAATAGGTTCCAATTTAGTGTGTGTAGTAAATAAGGTAAGTTCATTATGTATTTTACTATTACCGTGCATACCTACATTAATTTAATTATGAACTAATATAATGAATAATGATATTTTAAAATTCTAAGGAAAAAAATACAAATTAAATAATATAAATCTTTGTTCTGTTATAGATAGCTTTGGAAGGCCTATTTTAATAGGTACTATAAGAACATCTACTGTATGTTTATTATGTGTATACTTGTACTCAAAAGTAAAACTTTCAATACATCCAACTATCCAAGAGTATTTTTATTTGTTTGTTGACAATTTAAATTCTATGACATTAAATGATAACAAATAAATTGTGATTTTGTTATTAATCTATCTCATATTATTGCATTGAATTTTTTTATTATTTATAATTTTAAATTTTATTTATTTGACATGATATCTTAAAACATCATTTAACATAGAAAACTATAAAATCATTTTATGAGTTTTATTTTTTAGTAATAAGATAAATAGAGTGATAGATTATTCAATCAAAATCAAAAATGATTAATTAGATATTAAATTAGTGTAATTTAACAGTAAAATTATTGAAATTTAATATTTGTATTTTTATTTAATAATAAATAGATGGTAATTATTCTATATTAAAAAACAATATATTAGCATTATCGTTAATATCCATTATAGCTGGTATATGGGTAGGTTTATTATTTTGTTACCTACCTTTAAAAAAAATAGCGTAAAAATAAATGTATTTATTATTTTTATTAACACAGCAATGGTTCACCCAATTTAACAAGCCTGGACATTTTCTTCGTGTGATCTGCCAAACTAACATATTATGTACAATACATTTTCTAACATAAATAGTAATATCATATATATTGACAATAGAAAAAAATATAATTTAGTTTGTTTTTCATTTTGATATAGGATCGTTCCAAAGGTCAAACTTGTTGAAATTATTATGTCCAAATAATTGTGGCCGATCATATAATCATCGTGGAACATTACGCAGGCATCTCAAATATGAATGTGGTGTACCGCCACAGTTTAAATGTGAATACTGTCCTAGGACTTTTGCTCAAAAAGTCAATCTCAACAAACATCAAATGGCTGTACACAAAAATATTTTAGATGCAATGAGCATGTGCTTTGTTGAATTATGTGAAAAATAAGTTATATGATAAATTATATATTTTATGTTAATTTTTAAGAAATATTGAGTCTATTGTCTAGTTAATTTTAGTTATATATCCTTAAACCCCTAATGGGGAACTATTTTTTTTACTATATTTCTAAGTTTAATGTTATTTATTATAGTATATGATTTTTTTTTTTTTTTGTTGCAACAACATATAATATAATTAATAAAATAAACTTTATGTTAAAATTTAAAATAAATTTATAGGTTCTTAAAATAAATGTGAATATTATTTTATGGTATAATTACAGTCTATATTAAAAACAATACGTAGATTATATTGTATTAGTACATACTATATTTTTATAATGATTAATTAACATAAATTCATATCAAATTAGAAGATTATCAAATATTCAAATACATTTTAAATAAAAATATTTTTTTCATACATTTACAATTTAAAAATTAAAATTTCAAATCATAAAATGTGCTTAATAAATGTATACAACTAGGTATACAAGGTTATCTGAATAAGTTTCTACTCTCGTCATTACAAAACGTTTTATACTTACTTATATATATAATTCAATGTAGTTGTCAAACAATATTTTTTAAATTACGTATTAATAATTTTACAATTAATTTATTATTGTAATCATTTTTAAGTTTCTATCTTTTTAAATAACAATGTATACATATATATATATATATATATATATATATAAATATAATTGATTGTTAAAACTACTGAATAATTAAAAGCTAAAACTACTTTAATAATTATCTCAGCTAACTTAAAATGATTATAATAATTTTTATTTAACATAAAAAAATATGAAAATTGAGTATTTTTTTATTTTCAACTCATAAATAAATTATTAAGCAATGATATTTACTGATAATTTGTTCTATATTAATAGCATAATATTGTTTCATTGGTATGTATTTACTTGCTCTCTTAATAACCATTTAAATAATGTCATCAATTACATACAAGACTGTTTAGAGCTATTTCATCACTCTACATATGTTGACTTTATTTACATTGAGACATGGAACTTTTTGATAATTTGGTCAATCTCCCACTCTAAACAGTCTTGATTAACTCAATTGTAAAAAGCAAAGTTTATTTATGATGATATTGACTTAAATAATGTTTATAAAATAATACTGTCAAAAACTCACAAATATTTCAGTCTTGTAATTGGGTATATAATTCAACAGTTTATAACTTTTTTCAATATATACCTCCTTAACTCTATTACTATTTTTTTCAGATTACTCTGATGTTTTAAAAATGGATTTTTATTGCAAAACTTTATATAACCACATATATGTATATATATAATAAATTGTCTTATTATTTTCTTGATTACCATTATTTTTAGTAATATCCACAGATATATATCTGTGGTAATATCTTCATTGTACTGCAATTAAGTACAATAACATTTTCAAATTTTAATGTATCAAATTACTTAATTATATCATAAATGTATTAGGTATTCTAGGTGTCTAGATACCAAGGTGGTATTAAACACAAACTGTAAATTGTGCTAATCATTGATTACAACTATATTGTCACCATATAAATTGACTGCTGTCTGTTATAATTTGAATTTTGTTGATATAACTGTACAAGAAATTTAATTAGTAATAACCTGTTTAAATAACATATTTCAATTTAATAATTTTTGTTGTCAATAAATATTATTAAATTAGATATTTTATAATACTTAATAATAACAATATTTGATACCCGATAAACATATTTTATTTTATATGATTATTTTTATAGGATATAATTAATTAACTAATTCTTAGAACTATTATAATAGGTACTTACTAAAATAGAAATTATTTAATGTTAATCAACGATAGATAATTCTTATATAGAATTATTTATTTTAGTAATAAAAAAAAAAAACTTTTCATAAAATAAATCATTTGGCTTTTTTACAGCATATTATATATCTATGTACATTGTGACATACAGTGTATTAGTTTTTTGATGTAAAAAATTTAGCTATAATTAATTTTAACTTAATGTCTTGCAGGTATTTTAATATCCAAACTATAAATGATTGTTGCTGATGATCCTGCTGTATACCTGAACTGATGTGGTCGTAAATATAATCTGAAGAGTCATATGATGTACGGATGCACAGTACCTAGACAATTTCAGTGTAACATAATAAATATGTTGGAGAAGCTTTGTATAGAAAGTCAGTCCCAAAAAAAATATAGCAAAAAATTAATAAAATTATCTTCTACAAATAATTTATTATATGTATACTATTTATATTAACCAACCATCAATAATAAACAATAATTAAACTAAATACTCTATACTCATGGATATTATACTACATACGAGAAGCATCTAATTTTATAATTTTGTAGGTATCTACAAGTTTGCTGGATAGGTTTAAGCAATGATGTCAAAGTCAGTTTTATGAGGTATTGCAAAGCAATAGTACTCACAAATCCACAATTGGTTAGGCGACTGCCCCGCAATTTTTTTTTTCTCCTTTCGAAATATAATTTTAATCATTAAGAGTAATAATTAAATTTATAAATTGGTAGCTGGGCTGTGTTAAAGGGAGGAAGCAGTTTATAATGTTAACTATGATAACATTATAATTATTATTATTATTTTAGCTAGTGTATTTCGAAGATTTACTATACCTACCCACCCTTAAGAGGTATTGCAACTGTAAAACCTGGATATAAGGATCGGAGTCACTGATAATATATTTCTTTAATTGCATCAGTACTTTTTTTAATTAAAGGAAAATATATATTGATTCCGTCACAAAGGGAAACAGCTAATATGGTACCTAATTTATTATTTTGTAGATTCGTTATACTAAATATTAAAATATTACAAAATAACTACCTACCTGTTTAGTAGTTCTTACTTTAAAATTTGTTTTATAGTTTTAGAATTAATTGTTCATTAATATTTTGTACTTATCAGCTTATTTTCAAGCAAAAAACTCATAGATTGTAAATAATTGTATTAAAATATTTTCACTATTTTTATATATTAATCTAAAAATTATTATGTATGCATTTTCAGATAGTGGACCGTACTTATCAAATAGTTCAAATAGTTGGAATAATGATTTACAAAGCAATAACAGTAATAAGAGGTTAAATGTTTACATTGATCATTCAAATTTCAAATTTAAATCATTGTATGAACTTCAAATGAAAGTATTAAATAAACAGCTTGAAAAAATTATGTTTAATAACTAGTACACAGGAAAATATATTTGATCTTAAAAAATTGACAACTAAACATATTCCTTGTTTGGATTATTTAATTAAATTTTAACTTTATGTAAAATAAATGTTGTTAAATTTCAATAAATTATTATGTTTATTAATGTTATAAATTGTTTTACTATATTTATAGTTATTTATTACTTATTAGGTACTTAAAAATACATATTTTAGTATTTTACTTATTATATATGATTGATAGGTATAGGTTGTGATTTGTGTCTAGCCATATAGCTGATTATATAATTAATGGTTGAAATGAGAAAAAACAAGAAGGATGCAAAAACATAAAAAAAAATATGCATTTCTAAATATTTTATTAATTAAGATAAAACTATAAGAGGCATGCATGTTTTTTAAAAGAAAACGAACTCTTTCTCCTTCAAAATTCAAGCACTGCTTATAATAGGTACTGTTTAGATAGTAAATATACCAGATAATTATCGATACTAATCGATACTTTAATCGATACTAAGACTGCATAATATATCAATGCCTATTATTATTATTTATTATTTATTATCTATCACTTATTAGTTATTAGTAATATTGTTAAAAAATAATAAATAATAAAATAACACATCATTATTATAAACAATAAATCATTTTTTTCAATATATTTTGATGTATTTTTTTATATGATTTAAGTGTTTATTGAGATTTGAATTATAATCGTAACCAATGCATTTATTACTATTATAGGCTCTGAATGTTATAAAATCAAAATAATAACCCGCAGTCCGCAATCTATCATAAATCATAATCGTTAAAACGTAAAAACTAAATATTATATATTATAGGTACATAAATAGCTCATGGAATTTTAAAAAAATCTCAATTTATTTTGATATTTTATATGTCTTGCGCATTTTATGTCGAAACTAATTCAGTAATGTACAAAATATAATGTATGTCTTTCGTTTATGTGTGGTGATAGTAATTTTATTTATCTATAGTATTATATCTAGGTGTAATATATTAATATATTATTATATATTTATATGTTATATAATATTTGTGTGTTATCTTTATTATTTTTGTGAAAGGTTTAATCAATTGGGTAATTATAAAGATCTTGAATAACTTATATGATACCTAACAATAAGTATCTAATATAAATTATTTAAAAATTTAAAAATCTCACCATAATTAAATTATCCTTATCGTATACATTACACTATTACAGAATACTTAGCTAAAATGTTGCTATATCCGCAAACTGTATTTCTGTGCCCTTGCAATTGTGGCCGTAGTTACAATTTTCAACACCAGCTTCTTGCTCATAACGATTTTGGATGCCCTAAACAGTATTGGAAATTGCGAATATGCAGAATTTGTTGGAAATCATGTTCGCCTGTATCGTCACTTAGAGCTCATATGATATTAGCCCATAATGTCATTTCGGATTAATATTTACTACTTTTTCATATAAAAAAAAATTACTTCTTTGTTATTAGTAATTAATTTAAATGATAAGTTATGACTCATAGTGAAAATAAATTCCTACTTGTATATTTTTTTTTTTTACAGGAATATATATATATATGATTTTTCTTTAAAATGTACTCATCTAAGATAATATTAAATAATTTCGTGAAATGTATGACTTTACAACTTGATTTGTTGATTTTGTGTAATAAATTACGTACACCCCACAATATCAAAATGAAGTAACAAATTTACAATGCACTAATAAAGAAATTTAATTATAATCGTTCCTATTTATCTACATTATTTATATATATATATACTTCTAAATATCCAATTTTATATATTAATATTATGATATTATAATT